GACAAGTTTGTTTTTCATTACTGAATCTGGAATCAGGCAGTTTGGAGGTGGTTGTTCTCAAGAAAGGACTGGTTGACTTCTTCAGTGCTAGAAATACAAAAATTTTTACCACTGTGATTCCGTCCAAGGTATCCAACCCAACCAAGAGAAGAGTCAAATGCTCTCAACACCTCTTGACCAAGAATGTGGTGATGAATTTAGACCTGTACACGTCCCAGGCCTTGGAGCTGTTGCCACATGGCAGCGACCGCTCAGATACAGGTGATGGTTGCAAGTTTGGCTGGCCTCAGAGTGCAGGGCTGTCTGGAGCACATCCTGCCAAAACCCCCTCCTGATCTGTGGGATTTCTGAGCCCAAAGCATTGAATCTGTGTGGGAATTGACCATAAGGATAATCTTTGATTCTTTCAGTGTTCTGGATCTCAGTGAAAGTTCCCACCATGGTGGAGGTGGCAGTGATGGACTCGGAAAACAGAACTTCTCTGATAAGAGGATCCAGTCATCTCAAAAAGATGAAGGAAGAGTATCCAACCCTTCCCCAAGGCACAGAGGCCTCTCTGCTACTGACAGGTAGTGTTTCCTGTAGTGTCCCCAACATCCTCCAGAAGGTGTGGACATGCACGAGAAGTCTGAATATCTAGGAACCACTAACAGTGCCTTCAAGGCTGACTGAAGGTATCCTTCCCCAGGTGCCCTGCAATGGCTGAGGTTCACTGGACGAGGGGCAAGAACTTCAGCACTGGAACAGAGCCATACTCACCTCTGCTATTGTTGGTTCAAACACACTACTCTCCCTCATCAACCCAACCCCCTGGCTTAGGGCATGGTAAGGATCGGTTCTTAAAGACACAATGAAACTATTCCTTAGAATCATTAAAACATTGGCCTGAAAGTGACTTTGGGAGGTCGTAAAGTTTATATCCTATCTTTAAGCAAAGATTGAACTTTCTCAGCCCATTTTAAAAACCTACTCCCCAAAACAAAGAAGGCATTTCTTTGTCTTTCTTGTGAATTGTTCCAATGTGTACGATTTCTGGTATAAATACAAGAGTTTGATACTTGAGACACTTGTAAAGACAATGGTTCTTACTATTCTTATTATCACATTGAGTTTACTTGGTAAGGTACAATTTTTTAAGGACAAAAACACTATATATTTACTTTGTAGTTTTAATATTCACTTGAAAGTATTGTCAAAATACATTTTGATGATCATCTGGCATGACTGCATGAATTCTCTATTCTTCTATGTGTTGTTTTCCTATAAAAAACATTCAAAATCAAGCATTCAATGCTAATATTTTCTGAAGTGATATAGTTTAGTGGAATTAATAATAACTTGCTTTGGTATAATGATTTTAATTTTGGAAAGTGCTTTCCCATTTATTATAGTTTTCTTCTTTTAAAAAAAATAGTTTTAATCTATTTCTTGCTAAACAGGAAATGTATGCACACACAGAAGAGAGAGAGAGAGGGAGAGAAAGAAGTACCTTTAACAGGGTCCTTACATTACAATCCTTTTTCCCCAACCCTTCAGCTCCTTAGATCTTGGGCATCTACAAATGGTTGGTATATTTTCAGGTTGATTCCAGGATCCAACCCATGGTCAGCCATGTGACTTCCAACACTGCAGTTCAGTTTGGTACTTACTATACCACCTGGCTAGGCCCAATCTTTTCTTATATTTGCAAAACCTCCATGGAAAGCACAATTATTTCTAGATAGACAGGAAAATCTAGGCCCTCAGAGGTTATGCCATGGGTCCTCAATGTCTCTCCAGTAGACACCCTACTTTTATTCTAGTAACTGTTTTGTGGAAGTTTTGAATGGTTGGAATATATCTAACGGGGCAACCTTTGAAGAGAAGAATCTGATAAAGTGGTAACAAGGAAGGGATTTGAATAAAATACATTAAGAATTAGATTGAGTAAAAAGAAATTGCCATCTTAGTAGGTCAAAAACAATGGAATATTAATTTCACTTGGTTCAACCTAATTTCAAATATTATACTTTCCTCCTTTCAATGGAAATGTTGTCAGCAATTTCATTGTCAAAATGACAATGCAATGATGATGATTATAACAGCTACACTTATTGAATGCCTACTATGTGCTTGGCATGGACACTTTACATATATTGTCCTACTCCTTCTAAAAGTTCTGAGTTAGGCTGCCTTACCAAATTAGTAGATGCCAGTTTGAAGAGGTTAAACAATTAGTCTGAAGGCACCCAGTTCGTGGAGGTTTAATGCTTATGTTATATGGATTCCGTACTCCTTTACACAAAATAATTCAGCACACAGAGAAGGACCAAGGTTAGTAAATACTTTTCATCTCAACCACTAAACATAAAGGACTGGTAGGGGTTGCCTGGAGTGCAACATAGAGGTGGAATCTGAGACAGAAGAGCGCAGTGATCGGTTAGTAATCTCCTAGCTGTGGAAGGGATTAGGGATATACGTCTTGTATATCTGTCATCTGTGGCCTAAACTCTCTCCCCAAAAGGCTTCTTTTCTAATTATGAGGTTTGGATTAGACTGACCCATTTAATGAAACAAAACTCTATAGTAAAATTTAGCCTAAAACTGTGTTGGGAATTGCAATTCATGATTCATAATCTAGTAATTGATTTGTGGCCAAAGAAGAGTTTGGCCATGTGACAAGGTTCAGACTCAACTGTTCTTTTAGACTGCCCTGCATGGCCACATATTGCTTTTCACTCTCTGAGTTACTGGCTTCCATATGTCCAGGTGAACAATAAGAAGGCATGAGATACATAAGAGGCCCGGACTTCTGGGTTTTCACCTTGCTGGCCTTTGCCTTTTTGACCATCATTTTAGACTTTGTACATGCAGACCTCAAATCCAACCATGATTTGTAAAGTTTCACATAAGTGCTCTTCCAATGAGGGTTGGTCCCAATGGACTGCCCAATAACCTCAGACAATAGAGATGTGGGAGTCCAGAAGAGAGTTAGGGGACAAACTGATACTCTACATGGACTGGAGAGAGCATCCTACAACTTTTTTTTTAATATTTATTTTATTTTATTTATTCATTCAATTTTTAGTTTGACCAGAGAGAGATAGAGGGTGAGAGTGAGTGAGAGAGGAAGTGAGAAAGTAAGCCACCAGATTCAGGACTTGAACTCTGGTCGGCCATGTGGGAGTGTCCGGCACCTTAACCACCACACCACTTGCTGGTCCCCAATCCTACAACTTTTAATTTTACTTTATTTAATTAATACCCAGCATCTTTGTTTATATGTGGCAGCTGGAGATTTATATTAAATGTAACTAATTTATTTATTTTTAATTTAAGAATTTCATGGTGGAAGTTTTTGCCTTAATTAGAACATTTCACTTGGCCAATTCCAATAAAAAATAAAATATGCTTTATTGTGATATGAACAAACTACCACAAGCACAACAAAAAAGGAATGGTTATAGTTCTCAAGAAATAAATCACCCTGCCTAGGGATACAGACATGATTTGCTTAGAATGAAACCTTGAATATTTTCATGATTATTTTGAGCTCTTCTGCTTCTGAATTCAGTCAAAAAGGCATTACTGTCACAGCTATTTGGCCACTGATTTAAAATGCAAAAGATGAACTATTAGGTTGTCAGAAAACTCAAGATGCATTTTCGCACAGAAAACTATGTCATAACTTTTCTGATGACCTGAGAGGTTGCCAAAACATGCTAAATGTAGGAAAAATTTCTAGTGTCCAGATCACTAGGATCCACCTTAACATTCTGATGTCCAATAATAAAGGTCAGCAGAGGTCTGACAGAAATCACTAGGGCAGAGCATGTTATCCTATTGACTTGGAGTTAGTGTATTTTAGCCTTTTCTACTAGTTAAAGAACTTTGACCAGAAAATTTGCTGCTAGAAGATAAAAAGCACATAGATTGTTTATGCACAAAATAACTTACCAGCTTCAGTCTCCTGAACACCCCAAAGTGCTGAGACTCTAACAACTGGGTAAAAGACTTTTGCTGATGTGGCCTGGGCTCAGCTTTGTTAGGAACAAGAGTTATCTAATCCAAAGAGTTTTAGGAATGACTGCTGAGGGAAGTCCCTTCTCAGCCTGCTCCCCTGCTGTTTAAATTCTGAAAAGAGCCAGCCAGTAGCATTGTGGTTAAGGTGGCTAGACCCCACAAGGCCAACTGTGTAGTTAAAGAGTCCCAGATGAGGCAGCTTGAAAAACGTGCCAGGTGCATGTGTGTGAGTGTCCAAAATCCCAAGAGGAGAATGGAGGAGAAAGGATTGATGCATGGCTAAAAAATCCTGGGGTTGCTTTCTCACTTTCCTTCACTCTCTCTTTATCTGTCTTTTTCTCTCCCTTTGGTAAGAACATGCACCCTGTAGCAAAAAAAAAAAAAAAAAAAAAAGGATAAAAATCAATCCAGGTATATAGTGCAGTTATATTATATGAAGTAATGCAATTTATGTCACTTCAAAATTACCTCCAGCAGCCACTGGCTTCTGATAACAATCATGAAAAAGAAGAGGCCTGCTGGTATCAGCCAGCATGAGAAGAGAAATCCATTGACCATGAGGTATTGAGTGGTAGCAGTTCTTATGGTTATGGGTGCCCATTTTCAGAGACCATTTGGGTGCCCAAGCTTATGTGGTGCTCAACCCCAGCAGTAAGTAGTCCCCTTTATTGGATTTAAGGTATGACTGCCTTTTAACTGCAGAAAACAAACCAGGCATGCAGAAAACAAACAGCTCTTCACAACATATAAGAAAATTGGAAGACTCAAAACACATTAGTATGTATTACTGTTTTAAAAAATTTGTATCATTTCACAAATTTATTGTCACCCTTAGCAAAAAAAAATTGTAGTAATTTATTTGCATTTTCAGTGATTCACATATTCAAGAATACACATCCCTATCATATTGGTATTTTTTCAATAGATGTAATTTTCAATATATCATAAGAAGAAATAAGAATTTGAACACTTTTCACTAAGTCAATGGATGCCATTAATCTTCTCAATTATATATCAACTATTGAAGTTAAAACTTTTGTGCCAATGGATGTCATTAATCTCAATTATATATCAACTATTGAAATTAACACTTTTGTTAGATATGCCATTAAGTTTATAAGGGCTAAAGAAAGTATAATTGTCACTGCATTTGTTAAATTAATGAAAGCTGATTTAAATGTGAATATTTTCTTTTAAGTTATATTTGCATTAATAAATATTTACCATATTCCTGTTCAATCTCCTAGGCTAATATATCTTTGCCTTAATAATTAATTGACAAAGTTAGATTTGTCAAAGACACAGACTGAAAATTAATAGTGATTTCAAATTCCAAGTATTCACTTATTTTTTAGCATAAAATTAAACTCTTCATTATAGTGATTATAGATTACAAGTATTAGTGATTTTTATATAATGATTAACGCAAGATTATAAACTGTACTGCCAGTTAAAATTTTCATAAAATTGTGAAAATTTTTCTTACTGCATACTGTATTTTCTCCAAAATGACGTGTTCACATTGACTATTTGCTGACATTCTTTCCCCTTGACAAAATTCATGACTCAATTGATCTGTTTTGAAAACAGTGCCAAATCTTGCCAGTAGATGGCACACAAGAACGTGTGTTGAAGGCAAGAAAGTTAGAAAGTATGATTATTATTACCAAGATGTGCTGAAAGGAACTTTTACAGATGTTTCCCACTATGATACACTACAGACTTATCAGTTCTTACTGTAATCTCTGTAATTTGGGGCAAGCAAAAGGGTTTTTTATTAATGAAAAAGAAAACTATTGTTCTCTCGTTGCACACTAATGTTATTTTTTCTGAATCGTATGGTCCTTCAGAACGTGCAAATTTGACTGTTCTGTGTTCACCACATCTGCCCAATTCCATTTATACTTTTGGGAAGTTCCTCAGGATTCAGCCTACCATAAGTCAGCATATCGGTCAGGCTTAAAAATAAAGAAAATATTGACATAATGAAAACAAACTATTTAAAATTAATAGTGTCCCTTTGTCAGTAAGTGAGAGGAAGGTAAAGCCACCTAAAAAGAGAGAAAAAACAAGGTACACTCACTAGATAATGGTCATGTTGAATTCTGTGCTCTGTCTCTAGGCTGAGGAAGCAGAAAGAGAAACTTGAAAACAGAATGGAGATGTATTTTGTTAAGCTCCTTATAACTGGAATAAACAAGATCACTCCACTGAGGACTCAGCCTAATGTAGTAAGATCTATTCCCGCCTTTTCCTAATCTACTCCCTCTTTTTCTTCTTTTCTGTTTTGTGGAATTTTTTATAGAAAAACAAACAACATTTTGTGACCAAAAACATAGCAGATATAATACAAGCCAGCAGGAACCCGATCACATCCAGAGAGTGGTACTGGAACCAGGTGAGGTCATGGGCAGCAACCCTGAGGTGCTTGGCTCCTTTGTGGCGCATGACAAACTCAATCCAGAAGACTGCTCGATCCAGGGGCTTCACAGGTTGATCATGATGAATGCTTGATAATCTCATAGCATTCTCTTTATAACTAGAAGGCAAAAACATAGAAATGAGTTTTTGTTTTCTATAAAGATATGTAGTACATGTTTATGTTATACATACCAAAAAGTGTCATTCTCTTCTCCAGGCAATAAGCAAATTTTACTAAATATTGTAATTCAATATCTGAGAGTTCTTATCGAAAACACTTAGCCTGAGACAGTCAAAAATAAATAAAAAATATTTTGGAATAAAGGATCTCTGGTTAAATTTGAAAATTGATTTTCTTAAAAGAAAAAAGACATAATAAATATAAAAAAATAAATAACATAAACATTGGTAAGTTAAAATTATAAATAATACAAACTTGGAATGAAAATACTTCCAAAACAGTTCAAATATTAATAGTAAAAATGAAACACATTGTCAAAAATAAAGACTCAATATTATATATACATAAATCATATTAATTCTTATCCTTACTGAGATCTTTCAGTGAAAAACTAAGACATAAGGATATATATCCAAAGTTCAGTATATAAGTTCATAATTTCATTCAAATTTATTTTGTTGCTAAATTAGATTAAATATTTTGGGCTATCTGGTGGCATGGTGATTAAGGTGGCTGGATCTCACATGGCCAATTATATGGTCCAGGTCCTGACCCAGTGTCTTGAAAAACATGCTGGGCCTGTGTACTTGTGTGACTATACCCAAGAGGAGAATTGAGCAGAAGAGATTGCAGCATGAATATTTCTCCTATTGCGGTGCTTTCTCAGTTTCTCTCTCTGTTTCTGTCTCTGTCTCTGGTGAGTGTACATACCCTATGGCAAATTAAAAATGGTAATAATAATAAATAAATAAAAACCACATATAATGTCAATCAATATGTGTTTAATTATTTATTTTAAAAAATAAGGGCCAGTAGGTGGCATGGTGGTTAAGGTGTTGGGCCAACAATGATTGAAGTGCTGGACCTGGAAGTTTGTTTTATCATTTACTCTCTCTCTCTCTCTCTCTCTCTCTAGTGCATGTACCCTACAGCAAATTAAAAAATGATAATAATAACAAGTAAAATTAAAAGTAATAATCCTTTGGGAAAAAATTAAAAGAGCCAACAGGTGGTGTGGAGATTGAGGTAGCTAAATCTCACATAGTCGACTGTATGGTTTGAGTCCCAGACACGGCATCTTGAACAACACATCGGGTATGTGTGTTTGTGTGCTCAAAATCATAAGGAAACAAGGGAGAAGGGATTCGAGCAGGGCCATCCTCCATGGGGAATGAAGGAGTGCTTTCTCACTTTCTCCCCCTCACTCTCTCTCTCTCTCTCTCTCTCTCTCTCTCTGTGTCTCTGGGGAACACATGTGTACTATCACAAAAAAGGTAAAACAACAAACAGAGAAAAACTCAGCATATATCCAAAAAAGAAGATTTATGTATAATTATAAGATTTTGTATTTTGAAAAAAATTATTGATGGAATATATGAAGTTTTTGAATTTTCTTTTTTTTATTTCCAGTTTTAACAAGTCACTTCAGCAGCTTGGGCATGAAGTAAATATTTCCATATCTATTGGTCATGTGATTCTTGTTACTTGTAAATAGACCAATTCCAAGGTATGAAACATGGACATTTTCTGGCATGACAGATAACATTATCAAGGACAGGTAAGCCTTCTAGCTGCAGTACTTACGAAGGTTCATTAATGACAGTTTTTAAGGCATTGAGCAAATCTGCGCTTGTAGGTTGATCATGATGAATGCTTGATAATCTCATAGCATTCTCTTTATAACTAGAAGGCAAAAACATAGAAATGAGTTTTTGTTTTCTATAAAGATATGTAGTACATGTTTATGTTATACATACCAAAAAGTGTCATTCTCTTCTCCAGGCAATAAGCAAATTTTACTAAATATTGTAATTCAATATCTGAGAGTTCTTATCGAAAACACTTAGCCTGAGACAGTCAAAAATAAATAAAAAATATTTTGGAATAAAGGATCTCTGGTTAAATTTGAAAATTGATTTTCTTAAAAGAAAAAAGACATAATAAATATAAAAAAATAAATAACATAAACATTGGTAAGTTAAAATTATAAATAATACAAACTTGGAATGAACATAATTTCATTCAAATTTATTTTGTTGCTAAATTAGATTAAATATTTTGGGCTATCTGGTGGCATGGTGATTAAGGTGGCTGGATCTCACATGGCCAATTATATGGTCCAGGTCCTGACCCAGTGTCTTGAAAAACATGCTGGGCCTGTGTACTTGTGTGACTATACCCAAGAGGAGAATTGAGCAGAAGAGATTGCAGCATGAATATTTCTCCTATTGCGGTGCTTTCTCAGTTTCTCTCTCTGTTTCTGTCTCTGTCTCTGGTGAGTGTACATACCCTATGGCAAATTAAAAATGGTAATAATAATAAATAAATAAAAACCACATATAATGTCAATCAATATGTGTTTAATTATTTATTTTAAAAAATAAGGGCCAGTAGGTGGCATGGTGGTTAAGGTGTTGGGCCAACAATGATTGAAGTGCTGGACCTGGAAGTTTGTTTTATCATTTACTCTCTCTCTCTCTCTCTCTCTCTCTAGTGCATGTACCCTACAGCAAATTAAAAAATGATAATAATAACAAGTAAAATTAAAAGTAATAATCCTTTGGGAAAAAATTAAAAGAGCCAACAGGTGGTGTGGAGATTGAGGTAGCTAAATCTCACATAGTCGACTGTATGGTTTGAGTCCCAGACACGGCATCTTGAACAACACATCGGGTATGTGTGTTTGTGTGCTCAAAATCATAAGGAAACAAGGGAGAAGGGATTCGAGCAGGGCCATCCTCCATGGGGAATGAAGGAGTGCTTTCTCACTTTCTCCCCCTCACTCTCTCTCTCTCTCTCTCTCTCTCTCTCTCTCTCTCTGTGTCTCTGGGGAACACATGTGTACTATCACAAAAAAGGTAAAACAACAAACAGAGAAAAACTCAGCATATATCCAAAAAAGAAGATTTATGTATAATTATAAGATTTTGTATTTTGAAAAAAATTATTGATGGAATATATGAAGTTTTTGAATTTTCTTTTTTTTATTTCCAGTTTTAACAAGTCACTTCAGCAGCTTGGGCATGAAGTAAATATTTCCATATCTATTGGTCATGTGATTCTTGTTACTTGTAAATAGACCAATTCCAAGGTATGAAACATGGACATTTTCTGGCATGACAGATAACATTATCAAGGACAGGTAAGCCTTCTAGCTGCAGTACTTACGAAGGTTCATTAATGACAGTTTTTAAGGCATTGAGCAAATCTGCGCTTGTCATCGTGTTCATGTTCACATCCACAGCTGCTCCTTTGGCTTTCATGTGAGCGATGTTATCAGGCTGATCAGCAAACATGGGAATTCCCACCATGGGGACACCATGGTAAATTGCTTCATAAATGCCATTAGTTCCACCATGAGTGATGAAAGCTTTGGTTTTGGGATGACCTAGTTTAGGGATGAAGAAGAGCAGGCATAGACTTTATTATAATCTGTTACCAAATAGTCAAAGAAGGAAGGGCAATGTTATCATATAACTCACTGAAAAAGGCAGTATTTCTTAAGAAAGTTGAGTACATGGTCCATCGCTATCAGAATCTTCAATCTCAGGAAAAAAAGAACTCAACTCCCTTTGCATTTTCTGGGAATACATTACTGGGGAGGTGATATCTGAAGTGAGATTGAAACTGAAGTGTGGTGAGGATTTTAACTGAAGATGCTATTTTGTAAACCAGAAGTAAGAATATATCTACAACATTTTTACTGATGATTTAACATATCTGCTTTAAAACAAGAAGTCAAATGTGAAGATTTTGATTATTAAATGTTTGTTAAATTTATTTGCTTTTAAACAGCTACTTAACTAGCCTACCATCCAACTGCAGGTTTTTTTCCTCCACAGTCTTACCTAGAAGATCATTCTGAGGTATCCAGTCATAGAGTCGAGTATTGGCTCCTAAAGCAGCTGGTTTATTTCCTTTGTATCTCCATAAAACCTGACAAAAATAATGTTTTAATTTTGGAAGTGAAAACACACAATGACCTTCTTTTTTTTTAATATATATATATATATATATATTTTTTTTTTTTGCTAAGTTTGAGAGATTTGTGCTTATCAGAGAGACAGAGAGAAACAGAAAAGTAGTAATCACTCCCAGAGGAGATGACCACACCACATCCCTTCTTTTCCATTCTCTCTCAGGACTTTGGTCACTTGCTCACACCTGCTCAGTGTGAATTAAGTGTCTATATCCTAGACTCGAACGTGGTCAGCTATGAGAGTCCAGTGCTTAACCAATACACCACCTGCTGTCCCCCAAATTAGGGTATTTTAAGACCAAAGAATCATTTAGAAATCACATATTTACCTTACTTTTGGTGGTAGTTGAGTGAAGGAACAAAAGTGGTAGGTTGCAAACATTTAGATATATATAGCAGGACTGTTTTATCTACATTTTTGTAAAAGCTTATACTAAGATTCTATCATGTAAGAGAATCACTATTTTAATATTTACCACTTAAAAGCTTTTAGGAGTGAGATTGTAAGTGAAAAATAGAAAACATACAGGACTAGTTAAATCAGTCAGAATATGGGAGCTAAAATGATGACAAATATGAATACTGTATAAATTTGTATGTCACGTGACTTAGGTATGCTAAGTGTCATGTTCCAAATCTAATATTTTGAAAAATATGTCATTGCTTTAGTTTTAGTGGGGGAGTTTTTGATGATTGATTGCCTTTTCTTTTTCACATTTTTTTCTTTTCTTCTTTCCTAAAAACTTTCCCTCTCTCCTCCCTCAACATTTCTTCCCTTCTTTCTTTCTTTTTATTCCGTCTTACTGCTTTTTCCTTTTTTCTTTCCCTTTTTTGAGAGAGGATTAAATGTGGGATTTGCTTATATTTGATTTCTCAATAAATAAGGCATTTTGTTAGAATTTTAACAATTTTTATGTAGTTTTCTTCTTGGAGGAAATAAAAAATTCAGACAAAATACCATAAGATGACAAACTTTTTTTTTTTTTTTAGAGAGAGATTTTTGCTATAGGACATATACACTTGCTGGAGAGACAAGATAGACAGAATGAGAGAAAGCAAGATATCACCGCTTGGGGGAATGACCACACTGCCATCTCTTTTCTTCCATTCTCCTCCTGGATTTTGATACGCATGAATTGTGCCTGACATAAGTTTCAAGCCTCCAGGACCAGGACTCAAATCCCAGTTGGATGTGTGGGAGTCCAGCACCATAACCACTACATCACCTGTTGGCCTGATTACAAACATTTTTTATTCTATTTTATTATTCTTACTCTTATTATTTTTTAAAACATTCAATCACTACATACCATTTGGCTTGTAAAGAGAATTTACCCAACATGAAATATACCTCAGACCAGACCAGTTGAGAATACTATACCAGTTATCATCAATAGGTAATTAACAATTTCTATGTTCCATAAATGCCTCCCCCTCCCTCCCTCCCCCCCCACAGTGTCTCCAGTGTCCATAAGTATTTTCACTGCTTTCATGTCCTCCAATCTTTCAACCTCTACCATAGAGTGCAGATAGTTGGTATATATTAAGTGGAGACATACAATGTCTCTTTCAAGGTTGGCTTGCTTCATTCAGTTATACATCTTCCATATTCAACCACTTTCTATAAAATCTCAGCATCTTGTTGGGTTTTTTTATGGCTGAATAGTATTCCACAGAGTATATGCCCCACACGTTTTCAATCCATTCATCTGTTCATGGACATTTGGATTGATTCCATGTCTTAGCAATTGTGAATAATGCTGCAATAAATATTGATGTGCGAGTGCTTTTCTGACTGAGCATTTTACTGTCCTTTGGGAAGATACTCAGGAGTGAAATTGCTGGATATTATAGTAGTTCTATTTATACATCTTTGAGGAACCTCCATATTGTTTTCCGTAGTGGCTGGACCAACTTGCATTCACACCAACAGTGTAGGAGAGTTCCTCTTTCACCACAACCCCACCAACACTTAGCATTTTTTGTATTTTGATCTTTGCCATCCTGACAAATATTGGGTGGTTTCTCATTATGGTTTTAATTTGCATCTTCTTTATGATGAGGGATGTTGAGCTTTTCCTCATATGCTATTTGGTTGTTTCTATACTGATGACAAACTTTTAATGACTTTTAATGTTTAAGTTTAAAAACAAAAATCAAGAGTTTAACATACCTAAGTAGCATAATTGCCTTTATAGCTTTGTGTGCATTAACCAATATATAAAGAGTCCTAAGACATTTTATGATTAGGACTACATAACCAGTAACATATAGAATAGTAGTGATAAAAGAAAGATTAATTGAATATCATAAATTAAATATAGTATATTTGTGACAATTGTATTAGAATTTTAGCTGTTTTAATTATAGAATATTCAGTTTGGAAAGATTAAGAAAATCTAGGCTTCTGCTTCTAAACCTCTTGATAAAACATACAAATGTGGAGCATATTCGTGAGCATGATTTTTCTCTATTCTATGTATAGCATTTTCTTTTCCCAGACAGTAGAGATAACATATTTTGAATTTTTGACAGTAAGCAGCACAGGCCAATAATTTCTCACAGTAAAAGTCTAGTGAGGGACTTAACACCTTCATCTCTATTCCATTAAGGATGATTGATTATGAAAAAAAAGATTCAATAGCAATGTCAAGGCTCAGTGAGCAAATAATCAAATGTTACTAATAACACTGTATTGTTTTACAAATCTTTACTTTAAGCGATACGAACTATGGTCAGTGCATTTATAATGAATTCTAACTTTCATCTGAAAAGAGTACTCTCTGCAATTAGTAAAAAGCTGCCCACCAGAATTAGAGGTTGTACTGACCTTCTTTTCCCAGACTATGGAGATAACATATTTTGAACTTTTGAGAGTAAGCAGTGCATGCCTAAAGATTTCTCATAGTAAAAGACTAGTGAGGGGTTAACACCTTCATCTCTATTCCACTAAAGATAAATGACTAAGAAAAAAGATTCAATAGCAATGTCAGGGCTTGGTGAGTTACTGATCAAATGTTCCTAATTCCACTATATTGTTTTACAGATTTTTACCAACTATGTTCAGTGAATAATGAATTCCAACTTTCATCTGAAAAGAGCACTCTTTGCAATTAGTAAAAAACTGCCCACCAGAATTAGAGGTTGTACTGACCTTCTGTGGAATCTGGGCAAGGGCTGAAGCAATGATATTGGCCTTTTCGTCTGTGAGGTTTTTGACCATTGACCCCAGAGAAAACACCACGATACCATCTTCACCTGAGCTCTGGACAAATTCTTCCATTTCCTACAGAAAATAACATTCTATTATAAAAATGCAGCATCGTAGGGAAACAAAAAAAGAAGAAATAAAAGAAACTCATCTACAATTCTAAATAGGAAAAGTCTAGAGAAGTGAAACATACATTGTTAGAGTGAGTCTGTCTTCTAACATGTAGAACTGTTTGGTCTTTTTCAGAAGAAACGTGTTTCTAAATTGTATGGTTTAAATGTATAATTAGTAATTATAATATAAACATGATACTGAAACCAAAACATTACAGGAATGAACAGATAGTAAGATAGCTTTGCTTATGATAGGTGGAATTGTTACTCTCAATGCTTAAATTACACTAAACAATAGAGTAGTCTGTAAATGTGTAAAAAAAATTCCGTGGAAGGAAGCCCAAATAAAGGTTTAGAGTTTGAGTTGTAAAATTATTATCACACTAGGGCCAGCAGATTGCAAAGCAGTTACATCGCTGGAATCCCACACAGATAACTTCAGTTCGAATCCCACTCCTGGTGGCGTGAAAATCACCCCAGGCACGTTTTCATGTGTACC